ATTGGCTGACATCATGAACTTCAGGACTCCGATCTCAACTGCCACCCCAGGGTCAACACGATTTGCTTCTACGCTGGCAAAGTATGTATTGTCTGTCTTCTGGATCTTGGCCTGTGTCTCACGTATGTACTGTGCCAACAACTCGGGGCCTTCGGGGAGCCTCTCCCAGACTTGATGTACGTAGGCCTCCTCTGGTGTAGCAAAAGGAACTGCTCTGATGGTGTCTCCAACTTTTCTGGCACGCTCCCTGCGACGTGTGGGCTGCTCTCGATCACTATGTTGATGTGGTATGGATCCCCACCTGGTTCCACCTGAACGATCCCAAACCTCGTTTTTGTTCTGAGTGCTACAGTTTCTGACTGTCCACCTTGCTGACGAATCAAAACTGTGATGATATGACAACAGGCGCTGCGCTGCAACAACTCTCAAGAGGAGGCGAGCCTGACCTCGTCGTTGTCGGAGGTGTCGATGCCAGGTTTCCTCCTTCTTGGCCTTGTCCATGTGCCTTCGCATGTCGGGAGACGCGGCGAACCGCGCGCGTCCGCACACCCTCGCGTTGGCGGAGGGGGATCGCGACGCTTGAGGCTTGCCCTCGCCAAAAAGGGCTCGGGAGGTCGAGGCCTTCCTTCTCCTCCTCCTTCTCCTCCTCCTCCTCCTCCTCCTCCTCCTCCTCATCCTCCTCCTCCTCCTCGGTGGCTCTGCAGCACCGCAACAGTTTTGCCCGCGGCGCGGGCAGCCCGCGGCGATCGGAGCCCCCAGCCCCACGGGGCAGGCGCGGGAGCCAGCCAGGCCCGCAGCGAGCTCCAGCTGGCGAACGCGCGCTCCCTGCTGGACCAGCACCACGGCAGTATGGCACCGAAACAGTGGACGACGGGCAAGCAATGCAAGTAGTGGTGGTGGATCACGCAGATGGAGTCGTGCGATTTCTGGTGCACCTGCGGTTGCCGAGTCGCAAGGCCACAGGGAGATGAGTCCCAGCAGGCAGACGGCAACGGCAAGGGCAAGGAGAAGGACAAGGCGGGCAACGGCACGAACGGCGGCTCAGCACAGGCGCGGGGCATCGAGCAGATTGCGGCCGCCCTGAAGACGATGACGAGCACGCTGAGCGCATTCCAGCTCACCAGCAAGGACGGCATCGCCATGCAGCAGGAGGGCGCGGCCACGGCGTTACAGGCGGCGGCGACAATTTCAACACCAGCATCAAATCCAGAACGTTCCGATTTGCATCAACAGCGAGGACGTTCGAGGATGCGAACGAAAGGTACAAGTGGGCCTCCGAGGCAAAGCAGGCGACAGATCTCAAGGCGGAGAAGGCGCGCGACCTCCTCAACACGAGGGCCAACGAAGTCCTCCGTGCGGAGGAGGAGATCGAACGGATCCAGCAGGAGGGGAAGGAGAAGCCCAAGAGCAGATTCGACCAGCTGCTGGAGACGGACGCGGACCTGATCCACCCCTCGGAGGTCGAGATCGCAGAGGCGGCGGCACCAGTTGCGGAACCTGTGGCAGCTCTTTCCCAAGGCAGCGTGGGCAAGGACGCCGCCAAGTCAGACGCAGACATTTAGTTGGAGAACAGGCGGGCGAAGGCTGGCAAGTGCGGCGGGCCCGTGCAAGGCCAATTTTACATGCGGCGGAAGGGGCAGGCGACACGCTGGCGACGCTGAACCCCTGAACCCCAACATAACTACATGGGGGCCCACCGCCAGAAGCTGGCTCCGCCGCGACGGACTTCGACAACCATACGAGGTCTACGCGCTGCAGGAGACACATATGGCATGGGCAGATGTCGACGCGGTGGAGCACGACCTGCAGAAAAGTGGGTTGTCGCCCAGCGGTGCCCACTGCGACCTTTCGCCTGGCCTGGCCTGGCGATGATGAGGGCTGTTTGACTGCGGAGGCCACCCTTCATCTTGTCCTTGATACTGTCCGCCTCCCCATCTCCTCCTCCTCCTTTTCCTCCTCCTCATCCTCCTCCTCCTCCTCCTCCTCCTCCTCCTCCTCCTCCTCCTCCTCCTCCTCCTCCTCCTCCTCCTCCTCCTCCTCCTCCTCCTTCCCATTACAATTTCCATTCCAAGTCCCATCATCCTTCGCACATCATCCACCTCTTCGTCTTCCTCTACATAATATCCCTCACCTCCTCCAGCCTCCCCGTCAATCTCCTCTCATCGTTCCTCATCCGCCTCCCTCCTCCTCTCCCCTCCTTCACACTCCTCATCCACTTCATCTTTTCCGATCGACCTCTAGCTTCTCCCCCGGTCTCCTTTTTCCTCTCCTGCACGTTGGACCTGGCGACGCTGCAGGAGGATTTCCGTCTGCTGGGTCATCCGCGGGGGTTCAAGCTAATCGCGCGTCGTGGTCTAGGCTGGAGAGCTGTCCCTTCCCAGGGGGCCGCCGCGTTGCGAAGTGCGATGTTGGGTGCACTAGGCTTCGCGCTGGGGAAAGGACGCCGACGCGCTCCCCCAAGACATCTGGCGGATCGATGTTGTTCGACCCGTGGGCCCCC